TTGGTGAGAGCACTTTCTTTGACTATATGAACCCTAGAAAATGTAGAATCAAGCACTCAGGAGCTCAAACAAAGGTAATCCACCTTGAATCTTTAATTTCTTTGACTATATGAACCCTAAAAAATGTAGAATCAAAATCTTGGGTTTTTTAGCTCATTGTGGAGAGAAAGTGAGAGATATGTGTTGTAATGTGTTGTTTAGTTCATGAGAATAGAGAAAGAAGAAGGGTAAATGGAATTTGGAGGCATTAAGAGCTTCAAAATTGGTTGTTCATGGTTATTGGAGTATTGATGACAATGGCAATCTTGTAATTACTTGAAGATGATGAGGGTGAGAGAGTAAATATGTTATTTTCGAAAGGAAAAAAAAAATTGATGGCATTTTCGTGAATTATATGAACTTGTGGGGTGAATTGGACAAAATAAAGTTCCAAAAAAAAGGAGGTTAGTTTTGTGGTTGACTTCAAGTTTCAGGTCAATTCTGCAAAAAGCTCTATATTGTTATTATAAATCATATTTAAATCATTCATTTACTCAAAACATTAGAAAACATTCCAGGAATTCAGGTTATCGAGCTTTCCACATTTAGCAATAAACTTAAATGAGTGCAAACTCATCAGAAAAGAAAAAACACAATCACCCCTTTTTATTGTATTCTATGAACCAAACATGTCAAAGATATTGTAGCTAAAGATTCATAAAGATATAAAACTTTCAGTCTCATAATTCATCCTTGGTCGCATCATTCTTGTTATTACCATCACCATCTTCACCATCCTTGCTTTGCTTAAGCTTGTCGACAACATCATCAAGAGGAGGATCTCCAGGTCTTCTCGTTGAAAGTTCCAGCATAGCTGCAGCGGTCGCATTTCTCACGTGCTTTATATGCAGGCCAATGGCGTCCATTGTTCTGACAATTTATCCAAACTTGACCTTTCCCCATTGTGTTCATGTCCAAATCCAACGGTTCATTACCTGCTGGTGTATCAAAAGTAGACTGCAAAGCAAAGAGAGAGTTGAATATATGATCTAGCTTTGTTCGTATGCATGATCTCTCTGTTTCTCTTACCTTGTACCAGGTCAAGGGTTGTGTCTTGTCCACCAAAGATCCTTCTTTCCATTCCACGGTGGAGCTACCAGTTACTGTATGAATGCTCAGAGCTTCACCCTTGGTACCAATCTGCTTGAATCACACAAAGAAAACACATTGTTATTATTGTTGGTAAGATGCAGAAGCCTCAAAGTCAAGTTGTTTGCTCTTAAATTTCCAGAGTCCCCTGTTCCAGAGTTAACTCCCTCCAATGTTACTGGGCCAAGAACACCAGTAGTCCTAGTCTCATAATGCAAGCCAACGTTCTGTGAGCAATACATGAAGGCCACGCTCAGATTGTAATCAGACAAAAAGAGCAGAGAGGAACTATATAACTCATCAAGAGAACTAACCGGGAGACCCCCTGCTATACTTAACAGAGCAAGTTTGTTGACTCCTGCAGCTAACTTGATCTTTTGACTAAATGTTAGCTTTGGGTTCGCCATGTTTCCGTAAGCAGTTCCTGAAACATTATTTTTCTTATAACAGAAGACAAAGATAAGCTACCATGAGGATGTCTTTGGCCTATCTGAATCTTACCTGCAAGCTGGCCATTAACAAATACACTAAGAGCATGCCCAGCTGACTCAATATAACTACAACAGCACAAGTTCTGGTTACATCACAACACAAAAATTACATTTAAAAAAAAAAGTAATAAACAAAGCAAACCTGTAAACTGAGGCTCCACGGTGCCGAGAGTGAGCTTAGAAAATGTCAACGGCAGGTGTATATTGCTCGAGAACAGGCTCCATTGATGCCCTTATAAGCTCTGAAACTTCCTAAACAAATGGAAACGAAACATTGATTACATCTCTCTCAATTCAATGATCTTGACAAAAAATCAAAGGGAAGCTAACATACCTCGTCGACACAAGGCCAGATCTTTGTCAAGTGATGTTTCAGCAAGTCAACTGAAGTACACAAAACGCCAAATCAACTGAGATCAGTAATGCTGAGTTAGCAAAGTGAAAGCAGAGTGATGAGAGACGGGCATATATACATCAGCTCCACCGACCAGCTCGGTTCTGGTCTCACAAGTCTTTCTCAAAGTGAAGAAAGCTTCTGTCCACAAACCTCAAACCTTGCAGTTAGCTTCATCACAGAATCAGCTAAAGGTATAATGTCAAGAACAGCTCCAAAGATCCTTCTGCACTTATCCCACGAAAGGATCATATTCAAGTTACAGTCGAACAATAATAGTCAAATCACATCTTTTTGACACAGAATCAAGCACCGTAAATAGTCACCATCACGACCTGCAACAATAGTGTTGCCATCATCATCAGCGACTTTGCAGCAAAACTCATAAAGATCTCCAAAGAACTGAGATTCCTCAATGCCAATCACATCAAGCTGACAATCATTTCAAGAGAAAAAAAACACAGACTTTCAATACATATCATTGCAAAATAAGACCGAAACATAAAGAAACTGTAGACTTTACCTTGGCATAACCATCTTGTCCGAATATGTCTGGAAACGACATAAGATCCGGAAGAGCCCAGCAAGGGAATCCAATTCCATCATGCGTCACCATTGAATATTTAGCGTATCTTGTATCTTTACTCGATTTCACCATGGCAACACTTCTACACAACCAAAAAAGGAAAGAACTTTACAAACTAAGATCACTGAATCTGTTGAAAACGGTGATAGTTGTTTTACTTTCCGACGCTGATCTCCTACTTGATACGGCGGAGGAGAGAGGTCGATTTCCCAGAAAACATAGGATCCATGATAACATTAATAGCACCAGACCCACGATGTTCTTGATCGGAGATAACATCTCTGGAGATGCCAAGAGTCGCCATGGAAGGGAAGAGTAGTGGTGAAGTAATTCATTGAAACAGATTTGGAGAGAAGGGTAATGGAAGATGTGGGAGGCGAAAGGTGAGAGAATAAGGAAATTAGGGTTACCAACAAAGATGAAGTATAAGAATCAGAAAGTAGCAAATAGGCTGCAGAACAAACACGGTGGCTCCGACGATAGCTCGGGAGTTCTGTTGGCTCGGTCGGTTGAAGGTGGTGGTTCTCTGTTGGAGGACGCAGAGACTCTGCCGGAAGCCGCAAGATAGACATCGGGACTCTAGGGCTTGTCTACGACGGCTGTGAGGGAGCTTGCTGGCGGTGATTTGGTTTTCGCAGAGCTGCTACCCCATCGGTGATGATTCTCCTCTTGGACCGGAGCTTTGGTGGTGCGCGTGATAAATCTGAAACGAAACCATGAAGAACAAATTTATTGATTGAGATGTAGTGGAGTCTTGATTGTTCAAAGGTGGATCGATAGAACTCAATAACTATCCTTTCAGGCGGTGAAGACGAACCAAACCAATCGTAATACTTAAGCAAGATGACGTGGCAATACAGAGCTTTCTAATTGGTCGATTATATTTGCATACGTGGACAGCTTCTCTGGCTCTCATATCTCCCTTTTAATATAGTTAGATTACCAGAGAGAGAGAGAGTGGATTGACGAGAAAAGAAACTATGAAGTTGAATTATATTATGAAAGAATATCACAAAAAGGCAGTTTCACGTTTTTAATATCACAAAAAGGCAGTTTGTGCTACCAAGGTAGTTTATTATAACTTTTCCCACTTTGTTTCTTAATTATTAACTATCCAGTTAGCTCCCCCTAACTAGACATTTGGTTTAGAGGAAATTAACCTCAGCCCTTCATCTCTTTTCCATCTAACGTTCCAGATTTATTCTGTCTTGTAGATTAGACATATATATGTCTCTTTTTAAAATCATTGGATTAGATACACAGAATTTTTCAACGGTGAAGATTTTCTTGTTTGATAAAGGCTTCTTTCCAGCTCCCTTTCCAATTTTTTTATGGTTCTTCTGTAATTCTCCACCATACTTCGATTTACTGCATATAATTGTACACATGTAAATTTGGAAACATATTAATGGATGAAAGATTAGGTTAATTGGGAGTTCGTAATCGTCATGCTCGAATCCAAGCGGGTTGATACTGGACAAAGAAGACCTATGGGGTTTTGGTTATAATCTATCAAAACTTAAAAAATCTGAGAAATTTTGTTTTTTTCGTTTGGTTTTTGGATCTAATTGATTAATGACTACAATATTTTTTAAGTTCCTGAGATAAAAAAATGAAGATTGTATGAAGAAAAATTAATGGCGGCTCTGAGATTGAGTTGCAGAACGCAGGATACCTTAATAGGAAGAAGATGACTTAATTACAAAATTGCCACTCATTTTAAGAAAATGTGTACAATTATATGTGTACATGTGTACATCTTCATATATGTAAACTTTATTATTAAAACAATGTACACTCGTCATATGTGTACACTATTTATTATTAAAGCAAAAACCAAAAGTTACATGTGTACAATTATATGTCTGCATGTGTACATCATCACATATGTACACTCTTTATTATTAAAATAATGTACCATAACCATGTATACATGTGTACGTCTTCACAAGTTTATGTATTTCGTAAATATNTGAAGACGTACACATGTATACATGGTTATGGTACATTATTTTAATAATAACGAGTGTACATATGTGATGATGTACACATGCATACATATAATTGTACACATGTCACTTTTGGTTTTTGCTTTAATAATAAATAGTGTACACATATGACGAGTGTATATTGTTTTAATAATAAAGTGTACATATGTGAAGATGTACACATGTACACATATAATTGTACACACTTTTTTAAAACGAGTGGCAATTTTGTAATTAAGTCATCTTCTTCCTATTAAGGTATCCTGCGTTTCTGCAACTCAATCTCAGAGCCGCCATTAATTTTTCTTCATGCAATCTTCATTTTTTTTATCTCAGGAACTTAAAAAATATTGTAGTCATTAATCAATTAGATCCAAAAACCAAACGAAAAAACAAAATTTCTCAGATTTTTTAAGTTTTGATAGATTATAACCAAAACCCCATAGGTCTTCTTTGTCCAGCATCAACCCGCTTGGATTCGAGCATGACGATTACGACGCAAGGGTTGCGTCTTTCTGAACATGTATCGACGAAGAGGAGAGTTCATTCCAATAGCAGGGATATGTTATAGAATAAAAGTGGAGGAAGAAGCTTGGCTGCGGTGCTTGCAGCTCCATAAAGATGATACATGGTGATGAATCACGAGAAGAATAAATTCTTAAGAGAAAAAAAAGTCAGATCTGTTTTTTTTTTTTTTGCTAACTTAAACCAAAAGAAACTAAACAATTAGACTCTAGTTTTCATTTGGTTAGAAAAAACTACCTCTATAGCAATAACTGCCTTTTTATGATATAAAACCTCAACAACTGCCTTTTTATGAAATAAACTCTTATATTATTGACTTGGGTTCTCTCTCTTTTCGTACAAATGAGTGCCCCATATTTATAGGGGAATAAGTTGGCAACTAGTGTCTTCATCAAGAAGTAATTAATATTTTACTAAATAGATAATCACATTATTTTCTTATGATATTATCTAACAGAAACCACTTTTTTAATATTTGTGATCTTACTAAAACTATCTAAAATATGACATCATTTTATTATTAAAAGAGAAGAAAAATAAAAAAGTAGTCTTTAATTGGTAATTTATTTACATCTATGCTATTATGCTTTTTAAATTTACCCTTTTATATTTAGAAAAATTACAAAAGAATGTCACTGAACTTACAATTATTACTATTACTAGGTAATAACCCGCACATTGCGCAGAATAAAATTATTATTTTTGTTACTTTTAAGATAAAAATGATTTTATGTTTGTTTAGCATGGATATTGGTTCAGTTTTGAGTTTCTTTTTTTAATGTCCCAAAATATAACTATCATTCTAAATCTATATTTATTTTGGTTTGTTTAGTTTAAATGTTTGATGTTTTTTAATTTTTTCGATGATAACCAAAAAGTATTGTTATTTGTTTGGTTTCGTTTTATATAAATTTTAGACATTTTTTATGTCGAACTAATAGTTTCCTATTGTAATTTCTAAAGACATGTAAAATCAAATAAAATCTAAATAATATTTGAAGAAAAAAGAAAATAAAATTGTTAACACAAAACATTTCCCTACAATTTGAGCGATAGTGAAAGAAAACATTAAAAAAAAATCAACTTCAACAAAAATTAAAATTCTCACTTGTGGTGAATATTTAGTTATATAATCGCTCATGTCAATGTGTACATGTATGTATATGTAAAAGTATATAAATGTGATGATAAATATATGAATATACCGTTAATTAAGATTTAAAACATTTTTGTTCAAAATAACACATGATGGTAAGTTCTTAAATAAAATTAAGTAAAAATAAAAAAACCTAGAAATTAATAATATTTTTTCATATGAATAAAATCAAATTGAACCCGTAAACAATAAAAATAATATATATTACAAAGTGACATCTTTACTTGGTACGTGAATTATGTTTTTAATCAATTTTGTGATTTTTATTTCTTTTTAAAGCTTTTTTTATTTCTGTTTTTCTTCTACCAATTTGATTTTGTTTCTAATTTTTGGTCTAATATGAAAACTTTATAAAAATGTTAATATTTGACTAAACTAAAGATCCGACTTTACGTGTGTTGTTTTTCACCTCAGTTTCTTTAATTCATAATCGATCACCGTATTTGTTGTTATTGTGTACCAAAGCCTCAACCATTACCAATTTCGACAAGGTACAAAACTTTCAATTTATACAAATATTTTCAGCAAAAAATTTTAGTTGATGCGAATCTTAATGATTTTGTAAGTTTTTTACAACAAAGATGTTATTCATTAGTTTCATGTAGAAAGTTTTTTATTAATACGAGGGCTAAAAATGTAGGAAAAATGAATTAATTAAAATAGTATATAAACACATTAAATAATGAATTTAAAAAATTAGTGTGTGAACACATTAATTGACAAATGATTGTGAAGCCGACACGTGTCAATTACGGTGTAAACGCATTAATTACAATGCTTCTCTTTTAATATATAAGGGATTTTGGGACATACATTTTTTGTGTATGGTTTAATATTTTCTGGTGGACTTTTCTTGGGCCTACGTAGAAAACATTATTACATACACATAATAATCTGACAAATAACTTTGCAATAGTCCCAATTCTTTAGGCATCATGCTTCAGTTTATATAAAGTATCAATAATGAGAATGATTTTGAGATACAAAAATATATGAAATGGCAATGTTTATCCTTTGCTAACACATTAGCCTGCTAACGAATACATTTTCTGTTTTCCAAATCTTAGCATTCATGGTGCAGTCAACATTTAAAATATAATGAATCAATAATGACCTTGAAACTGAACACATTTCTGGGAAATTCTTTAGCTGTTGTGAGCACATGAACTTGATGTCGCTCACATATTAGAATAACATAGGAAAACTTTTTGGGAAATTACCAGAAATAACACTTTCAAGATACCACTTTTCAACTTTACACTAACCAACTTTACCACTAAAATTTTAATAGTCAAAATACTATTAGAATTTAGGGTTTTGGGTTTTGGGTTTATGATTGATAGTTTAGGGTTTAGTGTTGATTTTTTAGGGTTTAAGGTTTACTTTTTAGGGTTTAGAGTTTA